TGGGGGAGTGAATATCCTAATTGTAATTATGCACTACCTGAATAAGTACTTTCTTTTGTCCATCCTGAATCTTCCAACATTCCATGTCAATGGATGTCCCCAACTTCTAGTATCATGAAAGAGGAAGAGAAAACCTCCCTTTATCCGCACCATACATAATTTTACTTGCATTTTTTCTGAACCTGAAAGCCCCAAATGATGTAATATTTCATCTCAGGGGAGTTGCTCCAGCCTTTTGACCATTCTTAATCAAATGGACCTCCTGGGGCATTATTATTATTACATTTATATCCCATCTTTTATCCAAAGAGCTCATGGTGCCGTACATACTTCTTCCCTGCTCCATTTTATCCTCATCACTCTGGGAGGTAGTTCAAGTTGGTGAAAGACAGTGACTGTCCAAAGGCACCAAAAAAGAAGGTGCCACAACCGCTGTTAGCCAACCTGTCCCCTGTGGGTAGAAAAGATCTTCAAAAGCCGCAGGCCTCAGAAATATTTTTAAAAGGTGTCAAAAGCACAAAACCTCTGTATTCGACACAGAAAGCCTAGCTAGGTCAGAATACACAGCTCAAACCAGTCTCTGTCAGGTGTGCACCCACCATGAGGAAGCAGTGAGGGGAGGCACAGGAAGTGAAGAGACAGAAGCCTTGATCTCTGCAACTAGAGATACTTACTAACAACAACAAAAACCAACAACTTCGGGGGCTCCTACTCTTTCATCCTTCCACAATCAGAGAGATGCCAATAAAAGGTAACATGAAAACAACTTTTATAAGCTACATAATACATAAAGTTACTACAGCCAACAGCAATATTGTGGGCATACAGATGCTGTGAGGCTCCAACTCCCAGCAGCTAGCATTCCCAATGGCCAGAGATAAAAACATAAAAAAGCCTGCTGCTTCAGGCCAATGGCCCATCTAGTCCAGCAGTGGCCAACCAGCTGCCCCATAAAGAAACTTACAAGCAGGATTTGGGCACAAGAGCACTCTCCTTTCCTGGGATTTCTAGCAACTGGTATTCAAAAGCATTAAGGATGGGAGTTGTAGTCCAATCGCACCAGGAGAGCCCAGAGATGTGATAGCTCAGGGGAACTGGGGGGGGGGGGGACACGCCAGGAAAAAACAACAACAGCCCCCATTTTTTTCCAGATCTTCACCTCTCTAGGAGCACAACATCTTCTGTATCCATTTCAAAGAGCACTCAGATGGGAGCTGCCACAGTGTCCAGGATATGCTGCCTTGCCTCCCTTGCAAACATCACACACAGCAGAGAATGCTGGGGAATCATTTCTTGGACTACACTACTGCTTCCTGGGCCCTTTGGCAACATCCAGTAGACTCAGCCTCATTTAAACCACAGGTTATTATTCGGCTTCCAAAACCATAACCAGCTGAACCTGAATAATCCCATTATGAAGACAGGAAAACTGAGACCAAAAAAAAGTGAGGAAGACTTTCTCCTTTAAGAGTCAGTAAAGAAAACTACAGGCACAGGATCTGAGACCCACCAGCTTTCAAGCCTGCATGGTGAAATATTTTGCTTCTGAACTCTTTTTCCTCCCTGACCTGCTGCTTCGCTTCTCCAGCTTTTGGCAAGAAACAAGAAGCAAAAGGGACCTGAAATGCTGGGGAATGTTATCAGTTTCCCCTGGAGGATGAAGAATGTAGATGTGAGTCAGGGGAGGAATAAAGCAGGGAGAGGAAGGGAGAGGGTAGGGAAAAGGGAAAAAGGCAGCCTTAAAGTCAGCAAGAGCTTGCTTATCATTCTGGGTGCGTCGCACATCTTGAAAGCACAGACACAAGAATGTAATGTCATAACATTCGCAGTTCAATAACCCCTGCTTCACAAGACGGCTTGGACTGTCAGAGGAGTTGGGAGGTAAACATTTCAGCTCAGGGGCTGAGCAGGGAGAGGAGGGACAGATAAGCGGAGAGGGGGGAGAAGAGAGCGCGAGAGAAAGAGACAGAAAGAGTGTGTGTGTGTGTGTTCAGCATTGGCATCTAGCTTCAGGGCATGTTAAAATATTCTCCCTGCAGTAAATCCAGATCTAGAGTGGGGGGGGGAGTGGGGGGAGGGAAGAAAGGCTGGAGAAAGGCCTAGGATAAAAAACGACCTGATCACACGCCAGACACCTTTATTGTTCCGAAATGTCTTGCGGCCAAGTTATGAATCTGCAGCTTGACCCCAGGGCTGTCAGCTTGTTATACGGCAGAAACAAAACCCAGCTCAGAAAATTAAGACCCAGGTGGGACCACAATGTCATCTGCCCCACCCCACGCCAATTCTCCCCTCCAAGCTGCAAGCTAGATGTTGCCAGCCCACTCAGTGGGTAATTATCGCAACAGCTTTGTAGGCTATAAAGAACACAAGACTGGCCATCCATCAGTCCTGAACGTTTGCGGAAGCCCCACTTTTGCATTAAGAAACACCAAGCGAGAACAAACAAATGGTGCAGATCCACAGCCAGGCCTAGCTCAGTTCACAAGCAGTGTGGTTGACTTTAGCTGTGGCCCTGTCCCACAGAGGAAGCATAGGTGGACTGTTGCCATCTCAACAGGACCTCCAAGATGTAGACTGAACAAAGCTCACCCTTCCTGACTCATCACTTGCTATTTTAACCTTTGGGGTTCTCTGTTATACAGACATTAATACTGTAAAACGCTATCAGCAGCAGCAGCAGCAGCAGCAGCCATGGTTCATCTGAAGCAGCACAACCTGACAGAGTTATCTGCCCAGTTGCAACAAAACATGTCTCGCCTGTATTGGTCTCTACAGCCACAGCAGGCACTATAAAGCTCTAGCGTAGGGGTCAACAAACTTTTTTAGGAGGGGGGCAGTCCACTGTCCCTCAGACCTTGTGGGGGGCCGGACCCATCCTCTCCCAAAAGCACCCCCCTCCTGAAAGGACCCTCCTCTCCTGAAAGGACCCCGCCACCACCACTCACGCTGATGCCACCAATGACGCCTCGTCTTCATTGTCCTCTGCCTTGGCCAGGGGTCCGCGGTTCGCAGAGCCCGTGCTGCTGGCCTGGGCAGCAGAGGCAGTCTCCCCGCCGCCGCCGCTTCCTCCTGCTTGGCTCTTGGCCATATGCGGCCACCTCAGCAGGAAGGAAGGGGCGTCGCCCAGAGGCGTCTGGAGCTTCCTGCAGCCAATCCAAAGCCATGCCAGCGTCGCGGAAGCCAGTCGCCGCACAGCAAGGCCTCTGAGCCGTGCCGGTTTAGCACGGGGACTGACTGAACAGGCGGCAGGGTCCGCAAGGTTTGTGGGCCAGATTAACGAGCTGGGTGGGCCGCATCCAGCCCCCGGGCCTTAGTTTGCCAACCCCTGCTCTAGCTGCTTGATTTCACCCCCAATGGTGCACTCATCCATTGTCTCCCAAGACAAGCAATGCCAACAACTTCACTTCTTATTATTTTTCCTAGTGCTTAATTATTTACCACATTTATACTTTGCACACAATATAATAAAATAACCATCAAAATAAACCACAATATTAAGAGCAGCAGGTTGAGGCCAAAGGCCCTTCTAGTCAAGCATCCTGTTGGAAGCCCACAAGGAGGAACTAAAAGCACAATAGCACTCTCCCAACTTGCAATTCCCAGTCATTGGCACTCAGGGGCATACTGTCTCAGACAGTGGAGGCTGAGCTCAGCCATCGTGGTCAGCAACCCTTGACACCCTTAGCCACCATGAATTTGTCTAATCCTCTTTTAAGTCTTCCAAGTGGCTAGCCATCACTACACCTCTTGTGAGAGCAAATTCCAGTCCTTCCTTTAGCCTGTCTTGAATCTCCCAACATTCAGCTTCATTGGATGTCCCTGAGTTCTAGTATGAGAGAGGAAGAAATATCCCATCCCGTCATCTTTCTCCACACCAGGTATCATTTTATAAACCCCAATCACATTCTTCTGATATTTGAATTTCCCCCTAAACTACAAAGTTCCAAATGTCGTAATCTTTCATCATAGGGGAGTTACTCCAGCCCCTTATAAATCACCAACAATAATCACACAGAAGCATCAAAACATTTTTTAAATGCTGAAGCTTAGTGTAACTTAGAATCATAGAATTGTAGAGTTGGAAGAGATCCTGAGGGTCTTCTAGTCCAACCCTCTGCAATGCAGGAATCTCAGCTAAGGCATCCTTGGCAGATGGCCTTCCTTGATAACCATCCATACCTCCTGTGATAAGGTCTCCTCACCATTTGTGTGCCACCACAGACTATGAGTGCTGCACTGCAAGGCTCCACCAACAGGGGGTACTCCCAGCCACTTCCATTAACATATTGGGGTGAGTTTTAAGCTCTTTTGAAATCCACCTAGAGAGGCATTAAATATAATTATTACCATTTCCCTCTCACAGGAGAGGTAAAAAGATGTGAGTGCTCTAAGAAATCCTTGCAGCCTGCCCTATAAACATAGTTCTGGAAAACAGGAGTGAGAAGTAATGCAGCTATTCAACATACCCTTGTACAGTGGTAATTAATCTAGAGTAATTACCAGCCCACAATTTTGAACACCCAGTTTCCAAAAACATGCACTTACAAGAGGGAGAAAAGTGAAACTTTGAGCAACTCAATGAGAGAATGGGTGGTTAAGAGAACCAAGAAACAACCCCACACCAAGAAATCTTGAATATATGCCTCTATGATCGGCCTAGTGGTCACTCAGACCTGTTGGCGGTGCTTCCTCTGAGTTTTGCTCAATTGGTGTTGACCCCCCTGACAGGGCCTTCTTGGTGGTGGTTCCCTTTTTGTTGGAAGCCTTCCCTGGTGAGGTGTGGCTATCTTCCTCATTACTGAATTTCAGGAAGAGTTTAAAAGCATTTCTGTTTGCTCAGGTCATCTGATGGCTAAAAGATTACTGTCCATGGCAACCTTGAAATCAGCCACTGTGAGAGAATGTAGCTGTTTTTAAAATCTTTCACAATGTTCTTAATATTTTTAACATGTTTTTAGAGGGATTTTTAAAAATTGTTTTCAATATGCTTTTATTTTAAAATTGTATCATTTTAACATTTGACAACCAGAGTTCCTTTGGGAGGAAAGTCAGAATGAATGAATGAATGAATGAGTTGGCAGAGCCAACATTTCTGGGCAGTATTGTTTCAGCCTACAGGTAGGAATTCAAGTGAGCACATAAAAAAACAACACCCTAGCAAGTCAGAGAAGATGGCTCAGGCCTACTCTTCTCCCTGACACAATAGATTTCTATGTCCAGAGCCTGTTTGCCTGGTACAACCCAGACACAGTGTCTCCCTTCTCCCTTCAGCTTTTTTCCTCTGCTTCTGAAAGGCAACCCCCAAACCCTTCCCCTAAGCCAGACTTCCTCAACCTCGGCCCTCCAGATGTTTTTGGCCTACAACTCCCATGATCCCTAGCTAGCAGGACCAGTGGTCAAGGATGATGGGAATTGTAGTCTCAAAACATCTGGAGGGCCAAGGTTGAGGAAGCCTGCCCTAAAGCTCTCAGAAAAGCACCTGCCAGGCAGGATACGTACACACAAATCCTGCAGCTCAAGAGTCGCTTCAAAGAAAACCTTATGTCAGCCAATTCCCTTGGGCACAGAGTCAAAAGCCACAGAGTGGAGCTGCCCTCCTTTTGAGCCTGGTGAACAGTCAAAGCCATCATGCCAGTTTTACTCTTGCGACAGAATTTAGCCACCTTGCACAGTAGCCTTTGGGAGCAAGAAAGGCCTGTCTGGCCTCAACAGGTTCCAAACAAAGGGGGACAGGTTAACTGCTCCCAGTTAGCCACAACTAGCATTGCTGGGCTTGCAGAGAGTTGCCTCTCTAGCTCAAACCTATCCATAGCACTCTCTAGAACCTCACCTCAAGGTCAATGCAAGCTAGGAAAGCAAGGCTTGCTTGTCTCTTCCCAGTCAGGGGCGGGGGGATAAGTACCCACCCACCCTTATTCAACAAGCAAGCATGTGGAAATCTTGCCGTAAGCCAGGAGATGCTCTGACCATATCCAACTCAGCACTGCCTGAAACTAGGCAAGAGGCTCAAAGCTTCAGTGTAAGTAGCCGTTACCCATAGCGCCAGTGGGTCCCGGAGAAACCATTCTGGAAGGAGGAGGTTGATACAATAAAAGAAACAATTTATAACAACCACCTTGGGAAAAAAGTTGGATCTAACATGTCAAGTTTGTACTAGGTCACTAAGAAGCATAAAAATTTACATGACCGTTTTAAAGTTCTACTATGTCATTGTGTTACGCACAAATCCACATAATGTAAGAATGGGTTAGTGTTAACTGGATTACAGAATGGCCTGCCTTGTTAAAGGGGTCAGATTAAACAAGGAACTATGGGGGCCTTATGCAAGCAAACAAGCATAAGTGAGTTATCTCCTGATCCAATGCAACGTGGAAGATTCAGGACAGATAAAAGAAAGTACTTCATGCAGTGCATAGTTCAGCTATGGAACTCATAGACACATTCATGGATGAAAGGGATACTGATGGCTTCTGGGCGCAATGGCTATGCTTTCCCACCAGTTGGAGGCAGCAATGCTTTGGAATACCAGTTGCTGGAAACCACAGGAGGAGAGAGTGCTCTTGTGTTTGAATCCTGCTTGCTGGTTTCTCACAAGCATCTGGTTGGCCACTGTGAGAACAGATTACTGCACTTGATGGGTCACTGTGGCGTGATCCAGACGGCTCTTCTTATGTTCTTAACGTGTTGGGAAAAACCTGAAGCATTTAGCTAACTCAAGATACCCCCAAGTTTGACACTGGCATCAGAGGATGGTGTTGGGCTGGAGGGGACCTCTCTCACACACATGCAGCGACAAGCAGGGCTCTGCCCTAAAAGCTAGAGACTGAGGCTCAACTATTGGATCTGGTCCTGTCCTTGCAGATAACAGATTCACAGCCCAGCATTCTCTGGTATGATATCAAAATGGAAGGAAGCCAAGGGCAAGAGAGGAGCCTGGCTGCTGGTCCTGGCCTTGCCACACCAGGCTGGGCTTTGTGCCACCTTGGCACAGAGGAGGGAGACACACACACATGGTGCTGGAAGCGGGCAAAGCACTGTGCTGCTGGATTCCTGCAAGTCAGAGAGAGTGCGCAAGTCAGAAAGCGTCTCACTGCTGCTGCTTGACGTGTGGCAACAGGCTCCAAGGCTCGCTCCCTGAGAAACACCTGCTAAGGTCATGCTGCCCCAGGGCAACTGTTCCAAGCAGGAAAGGAGGGAGGGAGTTAAGAGCAGCCGCCACCAACCTTGCAAGCAAGCACAAAGTTGCCTGTCTGCCACTTGGCACAACTACAGAGCAGGAGCAGGAGCAACTGCCGCCACTGCCTGGAGCAGGTGACAGACACGCCAGAGTTTACTTTATTAAGAGGAAGCCGCCAGCCAGCCTGGCCATAACAAAAGTGGGAGGGCAGGGGGCAGGGGAGCATGAATTAACCCTCTGCTACCTGCACAAAGCCAGCCAGCATACAGTGCAGGCTGCAGGCTGGAATGAAAGGCAATAGAGATTTTTCTTTTTTCTTTTTTGCAGCCCTATTCAACCCATTCCCTGTTTTGCTTGAGGCTGGTGGGGGCTTCTACAGCTCCTCCATGGGTGAAGAGCAAGGTGCAAAATTCAGTATCAGAGGATGCAAGTTTCTGTCCTCTCACCACCAACATATATAAAAAAGAACAAAAACAAATTTTAGAACTTAACACATTTCAAGCAGTATCGTACCACTTTAAACAGTTATGGCTTCCCCCAAAGAATCCTGGGAACTGTAGCTTGTTAAAGATAATGAGAGTTGTTAGGGAGCCCCTATTTCCTTCTAAGAGTAACAAGGAGGTGAATGGCATGTTAAAACAAAGTACACAATGCAGTACAATAAAATGCCAAATGGGTCATTAGTAATGGTCATTATGTTACAATAAAAATTTAAAAATAATTAAAATGCCAGATATCATTCAGCAAGCAAAATGATCAGACAGCAAACTCGCCACACAGGAGGGCCAGAAGAAAGTCCCCACCCCCACCCTGTCCACCAGCCTCACCTCCCACAGACTTTAGGGGCTAGAAACCTGAATAATACCAACAACAATAATAAAACCATATCCCAGCTAGAAGAATTAATGTGTTCCCACCACCACCAATTGATCGTAACTATTCAGGGTGTACAAATAATCAAGTAATCTATGTAAATAATTGTCAAAAACATTAAATAAAACTGGGAATACTTACAATATTAACAGTTCACACACAGAGACAGAGACAGAGTCTGATAGCCTACCACATGCCTTCTAGGCAAGTACAGTCTCCCCAAAAGGATGTGGCTTTGCCCCTAGCCCAACCTGGCTAAACAACTCAGAGGCTGGAGAGTGCAAGAGGTGCTTCTTCATGGAGGTTAACAAAGTGAGTAAACAGGTCCATGGAGTAAGACCCCCACCCCCACCCCAATCTCTCTGCACACATGAAGAAGGCCTTGATAGGTTTATGGTGTTCCCTGGAGAACAATAGTCAGAGATAGTGAAAGAGGATATACATGCACATGCACACACCTCCCCCAGAGCAAATCTAGCTCATACCCATTTGCTCATTGGGGGCTGTGGGTGTTTCCACACGCACAGACCTGCTCCAGTCCTCCCCTCTCCTTAGGGCTGTGCAAATGCTACTAGAAATATATAAACATTACTCTTCCACAAACAGTCCCTGAGAAAACAAAATTAACTGGCATGTCAGCCGCTCCCTCCACCCCCGGTGCCACCAAGGACTACTCCCCTTGAATCCACAGTTCTTCTTACAGAGCAATTAGAGGCAAGCATTAATATTTAAATATTGCCCGCTCCAGAGAAAAGAAATCAAATTTATAGAAAGGGGGGAGGGAGAGAGCATGCAATTAAATCTTTAGTGCCCAAAGGCAGGTGTAAAGTAGCAGTTTGCACAGGGACACAGCAACTTCCTCCTACTGAAAAGTAAAACCCAAAGAGAAAGGAGAGCTATCCAAGCGCTGGTTTTAACCTACAGAGCCCTGTATGGCTCAGAACTCCAATAGTTAATGTACAGGTGGAGAACACTTGTGGACCTCCAGACATTGTTGGACTCTAACTCCCATCAGCTGCAGGCAGCACAGCCAATAGTTAGGGATGATGGGAGCTGTAGTCCAGCAACATCTGGAGGTCAGACGTTTCCCAGATCTGAGCTAGGAAAATTCCTGACTTGAGCATACCCAGACCCTGGGGGTTTATCATCTGAGACCCTGCTCCAAATGGCATCACTATGAGAGGTTTGAAGGGTGGAAAGAAGGGACAGGGCCTTTTCAGCAATGACCTCTTCCCATCGATGGAATGCTCTCCCAAGCAAGGCCTGCCTGGTGCTGACATTAGCATCCTTTGGGCTCACTGTTAAGACATACCTCTTCTCGCAGGCAATAGAGAAAATATGATCATCATGTTTATTGCTGTTTCTGTGATACATATTAAAGTTATTTTATTGTTAAGCTTGGTGGTGGTTGTTTTTACTGTGTTTGTAAATTGCCAAGAGACTTTCTGTTGTTATTTGTCAAATTTACAGTATTAGGTGACAAGTAAAATTGACAAACAACAGGTACTATTAAACCACAATACAAGACACCAGTGAGGCCTTGTCACATCTACAGCATACATTATAAAGCACATGGCTCCCCCCCCCAAAAAAAGAACCCTGGGAACTGCAGTTAAGAATGCTGGGAATTGTAGCTCCCAGAATTCTTTGGGGAAAGCCACATGCTTTAAGGGTATGATATAGATGTAACCTTAGCTTTGGGGTTTGAATCACAATGAAGGGGAAGCAGCAAGAGTCCAGAATGAGAACCTGTAGAGCCCAAAGCTATGCCCACAAAGTGCACTTGTGCCCGCCTGCCTGCCTGTTCTCCGCCTGTAAACTGAAAATAGCAACCTCTCTCACACAACTGTGGCGTGAATGAAAGCAATGCACTAGATGCAAGCAATACAGAAGAACAGCACTGTTTGAGGTACATATTCTTAAAAGCATGAATGCCTCTGCTTTTGCTAGAGGAAACACCAAAGTTGCTCGTCCTCATGGGACTCGGCTTGAGACCAACATCAAGACTCTGACTTCCTCAGGAGGTTGTGGACTTTCCTTCACTGGAAGTTTTTAAGCAGAGGCTTGATGGCCATCTGCTTTGGATGCTTTAGCTGAGATTCCTGCACTGCAGGGGGTTGGACTGGATGGCCCTTGGGGTCCCTTCCAACTCTACAACTCTATGATTCTATCAGATGGCAGAGAAAACAAGTTCAAAAATCACTCGTCCAGAAGATCTGCCTCTTGCTTGTTTGTTTTTTTGGAGCCACTGCTGGGGCCATTATGTAGGGAGCCGGAGTCTTGGAAAGCTAGAAATGAAGGAGGGACAGGGAAGGGTGTGCTTGGGAGATTAGCAAGAGAGCTGTGTGGGCGGCTGCAAAGGCACAGACAAATAAAAAAGAAAGATTGTGCCCATACAAGGTCACAGGACTTGAAAAAGAGATAAGAACATGGGGAAGGAGAAGGGCAAAGGAGACAGAGACAGCAGAAAGGGCCACAAAAGAAAGCAGCTTGTTGTAGGTTGAATGTTTAACAATAGCACAGGAGCTCCAGTCCAGTCCCCAATGTTCTGGGTCAGGACTGGTCATTTCCCTTTGAATTAAGGGACTAGCTGGGAGGCTGAATGAACTCAACCCCTTTGCTAAATAGAAAAGCAAAAAAAAATCCAGAACTGCAGGTACCCGTGCAGGCCACAATGGATCAGAAAACAGACCAAAATCCTGTTACTAAGTGGCCCTGGCAAAACCAAATAAGCTGTCAGTCTTGGGGTTTGAAGATTAGGAAAGAAGAGTGTATATGGAATGGGGGGAGAATGGAACTCCAACCCAAACCAATGAACTGGAGGAGCAACGTCAAAGGAACCCTTTCTGCTCACTTAAGAATGGAGTTGAAGCTGCCAAACAGAGGAACTCCCCAACGCAAGGCAGTTCAAAAGCATCCAGACTTTAGCTTATCTCTGTGGCACTTCTCTCTGAGCATGTCAAGAGTGCTGAGTATGAACAGGGGAAGACCAGATTCAAATTCCTGCTTTACCATGTGGACTCACTGGGAATATGCCTGCAAGCCACACAATTATTCCCATATTAAAGAACTTCATAAAGCTGGTATAGTTGTAGACCCTAAAAATAGGGCTACAAATATTTAAAACAAATAAATATTAAAACAACCTAACAATCTTTTCTAAGACCCAAGATGCTGACTTGTGTAGTACAGAAATTTGTCAGGGCGTTAACAAAGCAAATGCTGCACAGAGCAAATGTTTTGTATGCAGAAAGTCCAAGGGACAGTCCCTGACATCTCCAGTTAAAAACTTCCCCTGATCTTCCACCCCCAGAACACTATGGGAAGTTTGGCCATGATGCAAGAGATTTCAGCGCTCATCAGGAAACCCTCTGACCTCCCTTTCAGGCCTCAGAAAGTGGGAGGTCCTTCCAAGGTGATTAGGATTACTGTACAGTTCCGGAGGTCCGTTCTTAACCTGAGGTACGACTTTAGCTAATGGGGCCTCCCGCTGCCGCCACGCCGCTGCCGCATGATTTCTGTTCTCATCCTGAAGCAAAGTTATTAACCTGAGGTACTATTTCTGGGTTAGCGGAGACTATGTAACCTGAAGCGTCTGTAACCTGAAGCATATGTAACCCGAGGTACCACTGCATTCTGTTATTTACTGCATGTCTCTTCATTTCGCTAGACTGGGCACCCGCTTTGCAGGCAGCATCTCTCAGGTTCAATTCCAGGCATCTTAAGTTAAAAGGGCCAGGTAGCCGGGGGGGGGGGCAGAGCGGGGGGGGGGGACACTGTGCAAGACCCTGCAGAGTTGCTGCTAGTCAGAGAAGGCAAAACTGGTCAGATGGACAAACCACCTAGTCTTAACAGGGGATAAGACAGCTTTCAGTGTGCAGAAGATGAGGAAGCCACGGGTGGAAGAGGAAGAGGCTCATGCATCAGGTAGCATATCTTTGCATCTAATCCTTCCCCCTCCGACCTTCCCAAGTAGCAATGAATGGCTTTCTAGACCAGACACACATCCTGCAGTAGTCCTGTGAGGAGTGAGAGATCTGCTGGGGTAAGGACAGCTGCAGTGCAGCATGCTAGAGGGGATGGCGTACATATGCCAATAACCTCCAGACCCAAGCTCAAAGGATGTGCTGGGATCTTGCAACAACAGGCCCCAAGGCGCTTTCCTCTTTCTCTTATCCACATTATGGCTAGTGCACAAACTACACTTGCTGTCAACCATAGCTGCAGCCCTGTGGCAAGTGATTCATGTTTTGGTTGTAACATAGGCAGCAGCTCATAACATAAACCAATGTCACTGCATAAAGAATCTCCATGCCCCTGCTTAATATACCTGGCAACCACTGCTGGGTATCGCATCAGGGTGGTGGCCACAAATACACTATACATTTAAAGCACTCTTACGTCACTTTCATAGTCATGGCTTCCCCACAAACGAATCCTGGGAACTGAAGTTTGTTAGCAGTGCTAGGTACTGTTGAGTGAAGGACAGCATCATTAGCAAAATACATACCCCAGGATTCTTTAGAGAAAGCCATGACTTTTAAAGCAGTATTAAGAGTGCTTTAAAGTTAAGGTGTGGAAATGATTCAGGACAGGCACCCCTTTGCGTTACCACCATGACATGGAGCACTCATCCCACAGAGACTGTAGTCAGCAAACTCCCCACAGTGAGTGTTAAATGCGCACCAGGTCTGAGTCACAAGTAAAACATGAATTTCTCTCATCTACACACACACACACACACACACACACACACACGGGGGGGGACCACCCCACAACTAGGTGATTCCCTCCTCTAGAAACCTGCTGAGGGGCCCATAGTTTATTGGTGGAGCCCCCAGCATCTCCAGGTAAAAAGGATCATCTCCTGACTAAAAATGAAAGACCTTTGTCAGAGATCCTGGAGAATCACTATCACTCAGTGTAGACAACCAATGGTGGTGCCATTCAACATAAGGAAACATAATGGTTTAGAATATCTTATTGGAGTTGTTTAAAATCCTTCCGTTTGGGACTGTTCTTTTCTCAAGCATCTTGTGATCAGAAAAATAAAAACTACCTCTGGAGGCCTGTTTATCATGACTTAACAGACCTTTGGGAGATGATCTCCTCTTCCTAGAATTTTTGTGCATTGTTTAAAAAAAGCCCATTAGCCTGGCTGCCATCACCATGTCTTGTGGCAGTGAATTCCGTATGTTCCATTGTATGAAAACTGTGTGAAAAGGGAACTTGCATCTAGCAGTCAAAATTTCACTGGCAATCCCAGAGACCGTTGTAGTCTTCTGAAACTCAGACTAAACAGTCTTTTTAAAAAGAAAAACATTTAAATTAAGAACCAGCCTCTCGCCTTTGATCAGCCACAAGAAGAGTATTGCCATCCAAGGACTGCGCATCTGGAATTCACAACATGGCAAGGGATCCTGAGCTTCCTCTCTCAGATGCTCCATGGGCTGTCCACAGGGCCCTGCCAACCTTCCAGAGCCACACCAGCACAGCAAAAGGACGTGGGACCCAACAGAGGTTAGACTTGTCCTCCTTCCAAGCCCTGATTAACACACCTCATCTGTGATCCTTTCCTAAAAAAAACCACAAACTCTCCCACCCTGACCTGCCTCCAACCTAGGAGAGTCCGAAGGCACACCTCCCCTCCCTGCAGCAGGATCGCACCAGTGCTAAGAGGCTGTGTAAAAGCAGTAAAGAGGATTTACTGTGAAATGAAAGGGGCTTTAGAGGCAATAACTTTCCCGCCTCTTGACTTAAATGAATTGTGAACTTCAAAAAGGATAGACAGAGGGGGAGGGGGAGAGAGAGAAGCTAGTGAGTGACAGGAGAGCAGCTAGTGGAGTGAATGGCAGGTCAAATGGCATTCTCAGAAGGAAAACCCCCATGGGATAGCAATAGGGTATTCTGGATAACATGGGTGGGAAGGGGCATTTGTGGTGCAGTGGTCAACACAGACTTGTGATCTTTTGAGGGAATATTCTGAAACAGCTCATTTTCCCAGTAACAGTGCACTGGTGGTAAATCCATGACCACCCCTACATCATTCTGTTCTGCAATGCATCCTCAATGTTATCACATTATTACTGTCTGGAGATATACTATAACAGAACACAAGGGTGTGGGGCAGCAACAAAGCAAACCCAGAACATATGAAGTATGAGAAGTTATAAGATTTCAGCAGGAAGCTACGGAACATTCACCGACTAGAAGTAAAGCAGCATGTTCATCCCAAAACTTTTGCAGGCGTAAACAATATGGATAGTGGGATTGCATATACTGTAACTGCCCCAACAGCATCACGAGTGCACAATAGAAAAGATGTCTGAAAGGGTCCAGGAGAAGTAGCTGCCGAGATAGCAGGTGAAGACAGATAGCTATGGCCCCGGGGGCCCCAAGTCTAAGTTGGGAAGAAGAGAAGGATTTGACTTTCCTCTACCATCTCCACAGTGCTCTTCTCTGAGGATGTCTTAAAAGGCAGATATTCTTACTGACTCCAAAGCAGCCAGGCATGTTGGTTTCTTTTTCCCGCAAGAGTGCCACAACATTGCCACCAGAGAGGCAGGATGAGAAGGGGCAAACTTGTGGGTGGGGTGGTGAGGTTACAGCACAGGCTGAGCCACGGCCCTTTTCATACTCTGCAGGCATGGGTGGGGTGCTGGACACAGCCAGCCACCAAGGGGATGTGTTGCTTTGAGGTTGCTCCTGTGGTTACAACAGGTCACACATACTTCTCAAGCAGAACTCCCAAACAGGTTAAATTTCCTCTTCTTTTCACACGCACACTCTCAAAGCAAAAAGAAAACAAAAAGTTCTTTGAATGCAAAGACAAAAGACAAAGAAGACAGGGTGCAACTGTGCACCCCTCTTGGATGTGCAAGGCCCGAGATCTGGTCCATTTCTGTTAGGATCCTTTTCAGGGCATGGACTGTGATCAGTGCAGGTGAACTGTGAAGTAATGCCCAGTTACATTTCCTAAGTGTATCTCCACCTACCCATCCTTGCTCAGAGAATTGACAAACTGACAGAGCCAATATGTTTTCATCCGGCCTTGCAGGTGGGAGGCTTTTGAACTGGAGAGGGAAGGGAACCAAATCTGGGACCTTCTCCCTCAGCCAGGGGGCCTTTCCTTTTTTGGGGTTGTGAAGGAATCTCCTCCCAGCTCAGAAGAGCAACCAATCCTGAAAGACAATTGATTGACTGACTGACTGACTGACTGATTCATTCAATTTATATCCTCCACCATGGAACCCAAGTTAGAGTATATAGGGTGGTTCTCAAGTAGTCCTATGCAGGCACTACCCAGACCTGCTACGCGTCAGCATGGTTATGGTGCAGTGTGCCTTCAGACCCCCCACCCCCCACCTCCTTATTCAGCATGGAGCTTGGTTCACTTACCCAAGCTGCCTCCCATTTATGTCTTCTGGAAAGAGATACAACTCTCCATGGCTTCAATCATGCAAGCTCTGATAAGCGTGGGAATATGGGGGGGGGGTGAGGGACAGAAGGCGAGCCTGCCTTACAGCAGGGATTGGGGACCCTTGTCGCAGGTTATATCCAAATGTTGTTGGATCCTAAGCCCCCTTGCCACCTTAAAAGCAGGCCTTCTATTTCAGTCCCATTCCTGTTTTCCTCAGTCATCTCCTTCTCCTTCTTCCTTGCTATCTCCAAAAACAGACTCAGCCAGAGGGGCTCTTGGGCTCCCATTAACACATAGTCAGAAGGGAGGGGGGCTGGGGGGAATGGTGAGGAGGTGGGAAACCCATCTTCTGGCCATTGAGAGATTAACAACACAGCCTCCTCTCCCTTCCCCTGTTTCTGGGCTGCCATCCAGCTTCAGAGCCAGAGAACAGAGAGCGCAGATTGGGAGTTAGAGAGACATTGCCTCCCACAGCTCTGGGAAGGGAACAGCTCCTGGGAAGGGTGGGGGGAGAAAGCAGGGAAATTGTGGGGGGAAAGATCATGTGTCCTACCAATACAGAGAAAGACCTGGGCCTTCTGCCCTGCCAGCCAGCTAACCAGGAGGCTTTTGCGTCAGAGGAATGACTTGGGAGCTGCTGCAAGGAAGCAACCTCCAGAGACCTGGGCACTCAAACAGCAAGGGAGACAGACAGGACTGTGAGCAACAGGCCAGTGGACCACAACAAGTACCCAAGAAACAGTCACAGGCTCAGACCCTTCTCCTTCCACCGTCTGTGACATTGTGTCATTTGGGGAGGGTTTGTTTTCTATTTATCACATGCATTTTTTTGTCCTGCCTTTCTTCCATCACAGAATGCAAGGTGAGGTTTCCAGTTGATCTTCCAGCCAGGCCAACTGACCAGCCCCAGCTCTGCTTAGCCTCTGGGACCATGCGCTTTGTCCACAGGCAGGGAAGGGAATACCAACAATGCCATCAGAAACAATGACTTTTACACAGGTCATGAAGTGGGCACGGGAGCCCTCAACTATCAAAGAGGGTTAATATTTTATTGAGGCAAACATCTATTTGGAAGCACACTCTGAGCTCAGTCCACTAGTTCTCACTGCCTTTTGTGGCACCTTAAAGACTAGCACAAGTCTTACGGCACAAGCTCCGATGGACTATAATCCACTTAATCAAATCTTTAAGGTGTTGTCCTAGGCTGGCCAGTGTATGCCTGTGTACGCACATATGTAAATGCATACACACAAAAGAAAAGGCCATAATTCAGTGGGACAGCATCAGCTTTGCATGCAGACAGTCCCAGATTCAATCGCCAATGGCATCTCCAGATAGGGCTGGGAACCCCCCTGCCCTGCCAGTTAGTGTAGACCAGGCTTCCTCAACCTCAGCCCTCCAGATGTTTTGAGACTACAGTTTCCATCATCCCTGACCACTGGTCCTGCTAGCTAAGGATCATGGGAGTTGTAGGCCAAAAACATCTGGAGGGCAGAGGTTGAGGAAGCCTGGTGTAGACAGTCCTGAGCTAGATGGAACAAGGTTCTGACTTGGGTATATGGCACCTTCCTTTGTTCCTCTGTGCAGGGAACACAAAGAGTGGGGCAAAATAGCCAAGAATTGCAAAAATGACAATCTATGACTATTCACTGCAAACCTCAACTGTATATAAGAAAAGCTTATTATAGTTTTATTTAATTCCACAATATACACAGCTGTAATGGTAAAGAGGTAGGTTATATCAGTAGTAGTAGCAAATAACTAACAGCAGCATCAAAACAGTAACCATTCACAAAAGCTTTAATTGGTGATATGCCAATTATGAAGGAAGGGTTTGTATCCAGCCATTGTGGCCCAGACCTTACATTTTCTGGGGGAGAACTGCTGTCTCTACCTTCAGCTGTGGACCTATGCTGGGGGTGCCAACTGGATCAAGCCTTACTTCCAAAGCTCAGAATGAAATGCAAGGAGACAACAGGGACCGCTGAGTCATCAAGAGCCACGCAACTTAATCACCATTTTGGCAAACAGCCCCCATGTCTGGAGATGACAATGCGAAGGAGCACCCACCCACCCCCTGAAAGCTGCTAGAATCAAACCCACAGAGGATCTGGGTGGAAGCCCTAGCTTAGCCATGGACTTACTGAATGGTCTCAATCAAAAAAATCTCTGCCTTCACCTCTGTTCCTCCATCTGCAAAGCAGGCATAATTCCAAGCCAGTTTAACAGGGGTAGGGGGAACGGACTGTGATGCCAAACACTCTGCAAGTTAGAACTCCTATCAAGTTTGCTGGCCAACACAATCTTGGCTCTGGGTCTTCACTCCTCTCCCCGCCCTCAGCCTCCTAGGGCTACAAAAAAAACAAATAAATAAAATTCCCAGGACTGCTGTACTTGGAAAGGAACTAGTCTGTTCCTCCTCCTGAGCACAGCACACACTCTTCCTCCTCCTGGCTCCCCACAACCTGTAACCTTGCAAGGGCCTTGGTATGTCAGGAAGCGATAAAACGGTCTTTCCTCGGAGCTGCATGTCACAGCCCAGCCTCCTTCGCCTCCACCTACACAAGAGACAGCAGATTCTTGGCCTCTTGCCAAAGCCACTGTCTCCACTGCAATTCTGTCTGCCTTAGAGCCAGCATGCGCGTGCGTGCGCACACACACAGCTTAGGGAAGAAGCGGCCACACACATACAGTGGCAGAAGTAAATGCCCACATGAATTCACAGCCTGCCCCTTCTCTCTTTCACACATCCCAATGCTAATACACTTACAGTTACATGGTGACTTAACAGCTTGGCCTGCCCAACCCCACATACATGACCTCTGTGTGAGAGTGTGCACACATACACAAATAGCCTCAGAATCAAGAAACATAGGAAGATGCCTTATACAAAATGTCTTTTACCAACAGCAACTGGTACAACAGCTACAACCGTTCCTGGACTGGGGAAGCTTAGCCGCAGTAGTTTATACATTGGTTACTTCAAGAATGGATTACTGCAATGCACTCTTATGCGGGGCTTCCCTTGCTCTTGATCTAGAAGCTGCAGTTAGTGCAGAATGCTGCAGCAGGATAGCTGACAGGAGTGAAACCTTATCATCATATATATAACACCTGTGCTCAGTGATCTGCATGGGCTGCCAATTTTCTACTGGGCCAAGTTCTATTGCAACTTAACAACTTGTGACCAGTTTGTGAGATCGCCTTATCTCATATAAGATGTGAGATGATGTGCACACCAGAGTTATCACCAGGTTACAATAAAAAATAACTTGTGAGGTTTACAGCTACTTTAGGTGGGAAGTTGGTTTGTTTGGTTGCATCTGAGGAGATAGTGCTGGTATAATCTCTTAAGGGACAGATGGAGGGAAAGGGTGTGGAGGTTGAACCAGGCAGCTGGATTGTGCCAGCTAGATACCTCATCGGGTTGATTTCAGGGGCTAGACAGTTAATTGGCAAAGGCAAGGGATAGGGGTATCTGAGAAGCAGCATATAGCAGGAACTGGCAAGTGTACACGGGAGAAGGATCAAGCCGTCCTGGACAAAAGAAGAACAAGAGAAGCCCTGATTCACTGGCAGCAGACTGCAAACAGAATGCCCAGGCCTGAAGCTGGCCTTGCACATGGAGCTTATATAGGGCTCCCAGCCAATTAGAAGGCTGGGCTGGGAGCCAATCAGGGCCTGAGAACTCCCTGATGCAACAAACAAACATAGGGAAGGTTCTCAAGCCTTTTATGACGCCCAAGTGGCAGGCAGCTGTACCTTGGGAACTCAAGGATGGCGGGTTCTATTCCCAAGGGGAGCCAGGTTCCTACAGCCTTTCTGAAAACCCACAAGAACACTCATACATAAGCACCTTTTATTCCTTTATCTCTGCCCACCCCAACTGTGTGTTTTTAAACAATATATTTTAAAAGATATATAAATAAATTTATTACTATTATTATTATTATTAGAGAGTGTTGGAAAATGTCAGCCTATGCTGCCCAAATCACTTTCCAATTTACATATACCATCTATTAATTTGGCCCTATCATTAGGAATAGGAGAATCTGCTTATAAAGGGTCCATCTAACTTGGTACTGTCTGCACTGACTGGCAGCAGCTCTCCAGAGTTTCAGAGAGACCAGGCGCACTGAGTTGGGCCCCACGTGGGGGGTCTGATGTGTGTGCATGACATCACACAGGCCAAGCCTGCCAGGACGCTCTGGCGATCACGGGGGTTGGGGAGGGTGGAGGGTGAAAATCAGCCTCCAAGCCTCCCACCCCACGCCCCATCACTTGCCCAGAGGCAGCAGGTGATGGTGGCCCCCTCAATATTGGGGGGCTCCACCCCATGCCTCAAAATATTGAGGGGGCTGAAGCCCCTTGTACCCCATATACCCTGCATCCCTCCTGGAGACACTTCCAGTCCTACCAGAAGGTGACTTAAGTTGAACCTGGGACCTTCTGCTTACAAAGCAGGTACTCTTAAGTTATACCTGTTCTCCAAAGATGCCACGCTCTGATGCCATCATTGGTTTGGCCTAATCTTAGCCTCATCTCCCACAAGCTGTACCTGCCAGGCTTAGTCCCAAGGGAAAGATGACGGGTACTGTTAAAAGCATTTTTGTTTAGACAAGTCTACCTGGATATGTAGAATGCTGACATGCTTTAATCTGTTCTTAGTTTATTACTGATTTTATTTTTTAATGTTTTAAATAGTTTCTTTTGCTTATTTTCCCCCTTTTACTCTTTTTGTTGTTTGTGATTTTTGCTGTTTTCAATCAAGAGGTATATCAATAAAATAAAGAAACCTGGGAAACATGGAAGGGGAAGAAGGTTCCTAGTTCTCTGATTTCCAGTAGCAGAGGCATCCTTGGAATGGTTCTGAACCAGTCCCAATCAACCTGGTATCAATGGACGATTAACATAACCACACATGTGCACACACAAAGGAGGACATGTTCTGCATGTCTCTGTGGGCTGCTTCATATTACTGGCTTTTCCCGGCATTCATCACCCTCCCACAAAAGGTAATGTGTGAATGTAATGATACTGCGTTGGCAAATGCACAATTCAGACACAATTCAGGGAACCATAGCTGGCTGCAGCTCCCATAGTGTGGACTACCTGGACTTGCCTCTGTGTAATGTGATATGTTAGCAGAGAAGGGTTTTCTTTACGGGAAGGGGGAATAGTTGGAACAACAACAACACCATCACCTCACCCATCTGACTGGGTTGCCCCAGCTACTGTGGGCAGCTTCCAACAAATACAAAAGCATAATAAAACATCCAAAATTTAAAATCTCCCTATACAGGGCTGCCCTATGCAACTGTCCTCATTCCTTATTATTGGCCCTGCTGGCTGGGGCTGATGAGAGTGGGAGTCCAACAGCATCTGGAAGGCCACAACTTCCCTACCTCTGTGTTTAGTGATTTGAAATTGTCAACTGCCTAGAAGACACATTTGATTGAGCAGTAATTTTAAAAATCCGTTTAAAAATTGCTCAGTGTATGTAAACCTTTTGTACAGTGGAGTAGGCCATTTTTTATTATGAATTATGATTATTTAATTTTGATACCACTTCATGTATTAAAAATATCTGAGCAGTATACAAAAAACTGAAGCAACAGCAGACAACTTAAACAAAATATTACAAAAATACAGAGTTACATATATAAATGTTACATTAGTACAAAGTTACATATAATTTCATTTTCCTTCAGACTTTGCACGCTCTCTCTCTCTCTCTCTCTCTCTCTCTCTCTCTCTCTCTCTCACACACACACACACATTTAAAACTGGCCAGCTGTGAGCTTCAGACCCTTGCTTTACAAAGAAAAGGCACTGAGGATGCCAGAGGTCCTTAACACTATAACTCCTAGTGCCAGCTTCCTTTAACCTTTGCAGACACACACTGTTCCCTTGCCAATGTGTACTGCCTGGCTCTGCCTCTGCTGCTGGCACAGGTGATATGCCAAGGTGTTCTTCTCTGCCCAAGGAATTGCAAGGCAGGAGTGTTAGAGGCACTGTGGCATCAAGTTCTGTTGTCCCCAAGGTCAACACTATTACATCTCCTTGCTGAGTCACAGGCAGTGCTTTCAAATTTGATCCAGGACATAGCAATGGAAGCTGCCATGAACAACTTCACCAACCAAACTCTTCAGCAAGGATGAAAAGAGAAACAGGAAAGCATGGAGCAAGTGACATTAACAACTGACTGGCACTTCCTAAATGCCATACAACAGGAAAAACACATCAGGTTAAAATAAGTGTCTTTTAAGGATCAATTTAGGCATTTTTATGCAGGGATGGGAAACTCTTGAGGTATAGTTGGACTCCAACTCCCATCAGGCCACAGCCATCATGGCCAATGGTGATGGGAGGGATAGTTCATTGGCATCTATCTGTAGGGTCATGTATTCCCCATCCCTGCTTTTATGGAACAACTTAGGATGGTGTGGAATCATGTAGGTTTCTATGTTCCACATTACTGAGCAGAATGGCAAGGAGCAACATGTCAGGTGCATACACAGAAAAGTAGGTTAAAAGTGACTGAAATAATTTAGATTACTGGTAGCTAGTGATTGATAAGACTATTGATAAGAACACATCTCATATAATTTCTATTGCACTCTCTCTCTCTCTCTCTCTTTTTACATATTTCCAAAATGCTTTCATTTGTTTTAAGAGAGGATACCACCGGGTTTCTCAAGAATGCATAGGCCAAGCCTGCAAATGTGGGGGTATGGCAGTGGTGGGAGAAGAAAGCCTGACCCAGGACTGGCAGTACCAAAGAGGTGTGTTTCAACAGCCAGGGTGAAATGCAGAGAAGCTGGATAAGATAACCTTGAAAGCAAGAGCAAATCAGGATACAAGGCCTTCAACTTTATGCATATCAGGAGCACAATGACCCAAACTTCACTGTCAACCAATATCCGTTGTTCTACCAGCTCCACAGTTGCAGAGATACCACCAGTTTTAGACAACAGTAAACATCACTCTCTGTTGCACTGGAAGGTGAATCAAGGCACAGCTATCTATCTATCTATCTATCTATCTATCTATCTATCTATCTATCTGAAGTCACCCAGCCACAAGCAAAGCAGTCTGGATTCCCAGTCTCATCCCACTAGATTTGGATCTGTTCTAAGTACACAAGAGTCACCAGGTTGATCTCCAGAGCCAAGCTCTATCAACACAGCAGAGCTCCTTTCTGTAGCAATCACCTCTATTTGACTTAGATAAGTTATAAAATGGAGCGGAGGCTGAAAGGAGCAAATAATTAAGTCCTGGCCCTTCTAATTATCTCTCCCAGGCAAGCCAGTGAAAACAGAGACAGCGTGCACTTCAAAGCAAGAGCCAGCTATCCGAAACAAGAAGAAGCAAGGAAGCTAATAGCCCCAACGCTGCTTCCAAACAAGTCCCATTGTCAGGGAGGCTGGAGATTCTCCCTTTCTGCCTCAGTCTTTGTCCTTTCCCATTAGAAGCCGGTTTTATTTATTTATTCACAGTATTCAAATGCCACCCAGTAACAAAGTTCTCTGAGCGGCTTTACAACAACAATAAAAACATTTAACAAGCAATTATAAACTCGGGGGGGGGGGCGCAAATGTAAAACAGCATAAAAACTCCAGCAGCAAAGAATAAAAATCAATGGATTTAAAAGGCCTGGTAGAATAAAAAAGGTATTCACTTAGCACTGAAAACAGTACAAAGGAGGCTCCTGGCAAGCCTCTTTGGGAAGAGCATTACACAAGCTGGGTGCCACCACTGAAAAGATCCCCTTCCTGGTAACCACCTCTGCATCTCATTCGGGGGTGAGAGGCAAAGGAAAAGAACCACTGAGGATGGTCCAGAGCGATACTTCAGAATCCTTCTGACCCCAAACTGCCATGGTCTTTAAAGATCTGGAAACAGACTAGAAGCCAGTGCAGATAACAAAACACTGCTGCAATATCAAATGGTCCCATTCCAGTTAACAACCCTGCCACTCTGCTTTGGAGTAATATGCATTTCTGGACCGTTTCCAAAGGCAGCTGCACATACAATGCATTGCAGTATGCATGTGTCACTGAAGATTGCCTCTTTCTTAATGTCAATAAATAAATAAAGTTGTTTGGGGGGGCAAGATGATTTCATCACAGGACTTTGGCCTCCTAGGTGCATTACTACCTGTCTTTGCTCTTGCTCATTTTCCATGTTATTTTTGGCCAGGCAAAGTATATCCCCCCCCCGACACATGGGTCTATGAGGACACACCCTGGGCTGCCCCCTCCAGGAGAGGTCCAGAGGGTAACAAGACAAGAACAGGCCTTTTATATGATGGCTCCCCAGTTTGTGGAATACTCTTCCCAGGGACGCTAGCCCAGTGCCTTTACTACATATATTCAGGCGCCAGGCAAAAACATTCCTCTAGAACCAGGCCTTTGGCCTTTAACTATCTGTGTGGGCTTTTAGAAGGGGACGGGATGTTCTTAATGTATTTCTCTTTCCTCTTGGTTTTAATGAATCTCAGCGATATTTGAAGACACATTCAAGTCACACACACCTGGAGGGAAAGTACTGCATTCTTCTATTGCTTACCCCAATCCTGTACAATGTCTTGCTCTGAAAGCTAACTACGATTCACCAGTCGTGTGGTGGCCCACCAAGGGCTCAAAAACCTAAGAATCAGAGGCCTATCTGGTTCAGCATTCTATTCTATCTGTGGCCAACCAGATGCCCCAAAGGGAAGTCCACAGGCAGGACCTGAGTACCATAGCGCTCTCCCTGGTTGTGCAGCTGACCCAAGACCACACAACAAGGATGTTGCCCAGCAACTGACAGACCATGGCACATGGTTAGTGATATCCATTAGGCTTGGTAGGTTATAAATTGTGCTGTCTGGATTGTCCATGCAATGGCACCAAGTCCTTCTCTTGCTGTTTTGAGACATGCTGTGAATTTTGCTCATTTGTTCTTTTTATAATTAAGTCTTATTGTCTCTATGCTGGCTCTTAGGTTCCGTTTTAAAACTTTTTATATGCTGAAGTACTTTCTGATGTTCCTTTTGAATTGGTTTTATTGCTTACATTGTAAACCGCCTTAGAAATGCACTGGTTTTTAAAGAGGGGAGCGGGTACAGGAATCAAAACAAACTCTCTCCCAGCATCGTTGTCTCAACTTTACAAGTATACTCCTGAACTACTTTACATGTGTAAGGTGTACTTAACAGAGTTTACCCCTTTCTTAGATATTAAGCAGCAAATTCAGAAGCATTTCTCAGAATCAGAGCTGCAAGGAAAGGTTATCTAGTCCAACACCCTGGTGATGCAAGGAATCCACTACTTCACCATCCTTGGCAGATGGCTATCCAGTCTCTACTTAAGAACTATTAACAAAGGAGAGTCTCCCATTTTCTGAGACAGTCTGCTCCACTGCAAAATAAGTTCGTCCTAATCTTAATCCTTTTTCTTATGATTTGAACCCACTGGTTCAGGTCCTATGTCTGGAATAGAAGAAAAGAAATTCACCCCATCAATATGAAGCAGACCTTCAAATACTTGTATGAATGGATCTGCTCACTTCTAATCTTTCTTTGGCATAAGAATCTATTTCTACTTCCCTCTCCAAGTCACAAAGACACACGTGGGCAAATCAGGGATGGGTGGGAGTTCAGTGTTAGAAGTGCAACAGCACGAGCATCCAAGCTGGTAGGTTGCATGCCTCCAGCCACTTCCCCAAATGCCCAAATTTCTGGGGGCTGCTACTGGTTCAGACATAACATTTCATGACGTTTAGAAGTCATCTGATATAAGCACAAACAGACCCAGAAGCAGTGTTAGAAATTAGCCAGGTGTGTTTTGCTTTCAGCATGGGTCCAATTGCGACTACAAGATTTCTGGGCGCCAGGTTGGCAAGCATATTTTTAAAACCTGCCTTAATAAAAACTAATGCAATTTCCACTAGGGGTGAGCTTTTCCTTCTCGCATACTGGGGCAAGTGAACTGTTGTAAGAGCAAGCTACAGTCAAGCAATGTAGTTGAAATCACAAAATCATAGAATCATAGAATTGTCGCATTGGAAGGGACCCCAAGGGTCATCTAGTCCAATCCCTTGGTGAACAGACATTCTGTTGTGGCGACCGCAACCTATATTTAAGGTGCCATTTGGCACCTAGCTTATATATTTGAGTTTCTAACACTGCTCAAAAGCACTAATTGAGAATGGGTGTCTCTGGCATTTTTTTCCACACTCAGCAGAGATTTTGCAAAAAAGTTGTTGCATGTTAAAAATCTATTCCCATTACGTGTGTGCACTTTAAATTTGTTATAACAAAATGGACACAAGTTGCTAATCAGCTTTTTTAACAAGGTAATCCTTCTGTAGCATTATGTGGCAGAGTGTATCCTAGATTAACAGATATTGTAAAAGTTTGTTGGAGGTTAAGATCCCATGGGATGGGAATTTGGTAGCAAACAGAATGGAGAAGCTAGGCAGGCTGGAAGAAACACATGCTCCAAGATGCACTGTGCCAGTCTCTCTCGCATGGCCTCCCGAAAGCAGGCTAATCCATGTGCCTAGATCTCATGCTGCTAACCTACCACAGCTGTCTCCAAACTTCCCAAAAATACATTCAACTGATTCTAGGACTCCTCAGGCTGAACCCAACCAAGCCAAAAGGCTGACCAATGGAACCTGCTTCAATTCCACTTTCCCCTAAGCCTGGAGAAAAGCTTAAAAAGAACACTTGTAGAGTGTGTTCCTGTCACCCCTGAGAAACCGCAACCAACCCTCACACTTTTGGTATCAATAAAAAGTGCATCCAGGTTAGAGTGGGAGATTTCAGCCCAAGGGCTTGGTCCAAACAAAGGTTTTCACCTTAAAAATCAGGGCTACTATCAACCAATAATACCACTCCACAAACCTTTTCCCTTTAAAACAACAACAACAACAACAACAACAACTATGACTCCTATTTGCCATTATTACACAGATATGGTTCTAAAATAGTTCACCTCTCTGAGCATGTACAGAGCTCCTTCTTTCGGCACGGAGAGAAGTCAGCCAACCACACAGGCGGGGACTTGAGCCCCCGCCCCCTTCCTATTACAAGTTTCCTCCACCCACCCCCCTGTCCGAAATCCACAGCAGTCCAGACAGCCAGCAACAAGCTGAACTTCCCGCGGAGGGAGGAAGCCGTGGCTGCGGCGGCAGCGGCCAGCAGCAGGAGCCTCCTCCTCGCGCGCCTCCCCCGCCCCAACTCCGCGGTGATGGGCGCAGGAAGGAGACGGAGAAGCGCAGCACTCACCGATGATGGGCGGGCGGCCGCTCCAGCGGGGGCTCCTGTCCTCCATGGGGACAGCCGGCGGGGGACGACAGGATCAGCAGAAGCGGCGGCGGCGAGACCCTCGCGAGGCACTGCGGTCATCCAGCCGCCGGAGGCGAGGCGGCCGGCCAGGGAAACTTTTTTCCCCGGGCCCGGCGGGAGTGCGCGCGGCGGGGGGGGGGGGCGGGGGAGGCAACTTCTCGGCAGAGGAGCGCCGGGCTCAGCCGCTCGCTTGCTCGGGCTCCGTGTGTGCGTGTGTGTGTCTCTCTCTCTCCCCGCCTCACTTCCTGCTTCTGGTGCTTCTCTTTCCCCGCCCGCGGCTCCGCTCGGCCCAGCCCAGCTGGGCTACTCCTGTTCCAGGAGCTGCAGCCACCGAGTGACTCACCGGCTCCAACCGGGCGACGGCAACTCCGCTGGCCGAGCCCCCTCCCGGAAAAGGCCGCCGGGGGAGCACGTGCGGAGCGGGGGGAAGAGCGATCTTGCCTCTGGGGAGGAGGGGCTTCGGCGCCCACGGTGGCTCCCACCCGCCAGGAGGGATCCTCTCACCCCCGCCCCCCCAAAAGTCCTGGGCGTGTTTACTCCGAAGTAAAGCCCCAACGAATGTCAGCGGTAGACTTGTTCCCAAGTCAACCTGCGCAGAAGTGTAGCTTTCCAACCCAATCCCGGGCATGGCCAACTTGGAAGCAACCCCACCAGCGGGACTTGCTCCCAAGACAGACGAGTGAGGGGGGCGCTGGGATTAAAACTGGTATTCGATCCCCAGGTGGGAGCAGGAGGGAGACTTGTGGATACTGAAGATTGAGGAGAATAAACTCTGCACATGCTCCGGAACATGTCCTCCTTTTTCTTCTTCCTCATTTAATTAGCATTTTTAAGAGATGTGGCCTAGCACCATTTCTCTACCCTGCAAGGAAGTAGGAGGTTGAAGGCCGAGGATGTGGAGAACAAATAGGAGAGAGACCTGAGAGATTAAATTCTCCATCAGCCTTTGGCAACCTGGGGCTGATAGTACTGTAGTCTCAATCAGATGGAGGGCACCAATCATAGTAGATGTCCCACCACTAACTCTGCCTGCCTAAAGATAGGCCCCTGTGACATGGGGTGGGGGAAAGGAGTATTCTGGATACAGCTGGCCAGATGGGGTTTGGAACTGCTGCAGGCTGAGAGGCAGGCTGAATTTCAGCCAGTAAAGATTTTAGTCAGTGACCCCCAAACAATCCAAGAAAGTCCACCATGCAAGGGCCATGCAGCTCATTTGAGCGGTAAAGACGTCTTGGAGCCTTTAACAATTTCTGTGCTTTTTATGCTGTATTCTGAATCGTTGTAATTTGCCTTGAGTGCTACTTGGAAGAGGTTTTCGACATTTAAACAAATGCCTGATCCCAGGACTTGAGGAAACACAAAAGGCCAAAATGGCAGGGGCCTTCCCCTTGCTGCTGAGCCTACAGAGATAAGCAGACCTGGGGAAGGGGGAGGGGGGCATGGCTGCTCTGGAAAGCTTTGCATGATGATTTACTCAGTCCACTGACCAGCCACCTGCTGGAGAAACAGAAAACCACATGGCCGCCTGTAACTGATGTTTTTGTGCCTCCAAGGTAAGAGGGGATCCCCATGAGGAGCAGGCAAATAATGCAGGAACCTTCTGCAGCATCTTGACACAAAACCCTTTCAGACTATCTAGTGCCCTCTCTAACTCTTGCAGAGTTGCACTTGGGGAACAAAACCAGTCACCCAAGCTCACCAGGAGATGTTTCATAAGGGCATAGGAAGAGCCTGGCTGCTGGATTAGGCCAATGGCCCATCTAGTCCAGCATCCTGTACTCACAGTGGCCAGCAAGATGCCCATACATGAGTGCAACAGCACTTCCCACTTGTGATTCCCAGCAAGTGGTATTCAGAGGCATGATGCCTTCCAGCAGTACAGGTAGAACATAGTCATAACCATCACAGATGCCAAGCTGTGCACTGGAGGAAGCTTGATCAATCTCAGCCCCCGCCCTATCAAGCAACAGTATGATTTAGGCTTGGAAAAATGGACATAATATGCTTCAGGATGAAACTTCCATTTATTCAGAGATTACACCTTTAAGATGTCACAAGGCTCTTTGTTGTTTTTGCTACAACAGACTAAGAAGGCTACCCTCCTGGGAATATAGATTCTTTTTCTCCCTCTCTCCCAAATAATCTAATTAAACAGGTACTAAAACAATTGTTTTAGGGACGTGGGTGGTGCTGTGGGTTAAACCACTGAGCCTAGGACTTGCCAATCAGAAGGTCAGTGGTTCGAATCCCCGCGACGGAGTGAGCTCCCATTGCTTGGTCCCTGCTCCTGCCAACCTAGCAGTTCGAAAGCACATCAAAGTGCAAGTAGATAAATAGGTACCACTCCAGCGGGAAGGTAAACGGCGTTTCCGTGCGCTGCTCTGGTTTGCCAGAAGCAGCTTAGTCATGCTGGCCACATGACCCGGAAGCTGTACGCCGGCACCCTCAGCCAATAAAGTGAGATGAGCGCCGCAACCCCAGAGTCGGCCACGACTGGACCTAATGGTCAGGGGTCCCTTTACCTTTACCTTAAAACAATTGTTACATTCTTGGCCCACAAAATGGACAAGAGGTTTGTTCCCTGCTATCAGTTCAGGGGGAATCCAAGGAAATAATGGTGTGCCTTTTAAACAGGTAATGGGTGTTTTCCATGGTATTAATAATGTCTCATATTTTCAGTGTATATAAATAATGTTCTCTTTTTGCAGTAATGATTAAAAACCAGAAGGGAAGGAGGTGGGGAATGTCAGAGGACAAGCACAGCAGAATCAATGGCTATGTTCTACCTCCACTTTTGGAGACAGCATGCCTCTGAATACACACTTTTATTTATTTGTATTAAATTTCTATACCACCCTTCATCAGATGGCACAGATCACAGGGCAGTTTACAATAAAAACACAAAAATACATGACATAGTAAGAAACAAAAACAATACCCCACCCCCAGTTTAAAAGGCCATAGACTGTTTAATTAGCCAAAGGCCTGGCACCTGAAGATAAAGTTTCTGTAAAAAGTCCTGCTTGTAGGCATCCCATAGGCACCTGACTAGCCACTGTGAGAACAGGATGCTGTACAAGATGGTCTATTAGCCTGATTCAGCCTCCTGGCTCTTCTTACGTTGTTACGCTCTAATAAACTTTCCTCAGGACACTTGTTGAACTCCCAGCTCTGCACTGCTGCCAGGATGTGCTCCCCAGTGGCTTTCTCGCTCTCTCTTCCTATCCTTGCTTGAACTAGACCACCCAGTTCTGACTGCACACTCTGCAAGCACCCTCCCTTGCCATTTTTTGTTTGTGTGTGTTTAATATGTGAAATTGAAAGGAACAAATGTGCTTATCGGCAATTCTCACATGGTACAAAAGCAGACGTTTATCTTTCCACCTTCACTAATCTAGAGCAAGTTTATGTCCATAATTTCTCCCCCTTAATTTTCTGAGTTGAATACATTTGTGGTATTAGTATACAGTGGTACCTCAGGTTACAAACACTTTGGGTTACAAACACTTCAGGTTACAAACTTCGCTATCCCGGAAGTAGTACCTTGGATTGAGAACTTTGCCCCAGGATGAGAACAGAAATTGTGCACTGGTGGTGCGGTGGTAGCGCCTGAGGTTAAGAACGGACCTCAGAATGAATTAAGTTCATAACCCAAGGTACCACTATAAATATATGAACCAATTGTGAACAGTATGTTTTATATAGAAAATGCATCCATGTGCACAGTCCTTATGCACACTAGACCCAGTGTGTTTATCATACACATATGCACAAGAAATACAGCACATAGTTTGTAAGTTATTAACACTCCCAAATAAAACTGTCACTCCAAACTTCATATGTTCATACAGTACTAAACATTTTGAGTTGTAGCCAATGTTAGTTCTAGCAAGAGTAGAGTAGACTTATTGAAATTAATGAGCATGAGTAGCTTAAGTCCATTGCTTTCAATCAGTTGGCTGAGTAGAACTTAACACCTCCCTTTCTGCACAGGGCAATAAGCTCCCACATCACACTTGCATTCCTTCTCTGGAGGAATATGTGTCAGGATGAGCCATGTGAGTTGCTGGAGAAAGGAGGGAGTTGCAGACCTCCCATGGCACAGCCAACCTCCGTGCTTAACCTTGTCTCACCCGCCTGCAATTGGCAGGGCTTTGAGATCTCCTCCCTCCTTGAGTGCCAGCCAAGATCCTGACCAGGAACACAAAGGCCTTGCCTTGAGGAGTCGGTGCACAAAATACAGCAGGCATCTAACATGCCATTACTCAGTGTGTCTGCCAAGCGACTCTGGTAATTAACACAGGCAACTTCACATGGCCCGTTCCAGGCCACAGCTCCTGCTCCCAGCTGGCTGGCAGTAAATAGCTCACAAATTACCAAAGACCCTCCCTGACCCCTTATTCTGGAAAGACACCACCAGGTGGCTCTAGAAGGAAGCAGAAGGAACTCTACAAGCTTTTCCTAGACCTCTGTATGGCGTTCCCTTATAGGAAGTGCAGCAGGGAGCTAATAAATCCTTTGCTAAATTACAGCAATTGTATTGTGTGAACACATGGCCCCGCTCTCCCCGTGCTCTTTCCAAAGGTCAGAGGCCCCAGCTGTGGCCAATCAGGACTGCCTCACAGTCACTCACTTCCCAGACTCCCTGCCACACTGACACCAATACTCCACAGCTTGCTGAACTGGAGGGCTGCCCAAGCCATTTTGGGAAGGGCCATAGCTCAGTGGTAGAGCATTTGATTTGCATGCAGAAGGTCCCAGGTTTAATCCCCAGTAGCATCTCCAGGCTGGGCTGCAAATGTCCCCCATCTGAAACTCTGGAAAGCCTCTGCCAGTCAGTGTAGTAGACAGTACTGAGTTAGAAGAATCAATGGCCTGGTTCAGCATAAGGCAACTTCCTGTGTTGCTTGAGGGCTAGCTTCTTCCTCCTGCAATTTTTCATAACAGCAGGTGGAGGAGGAAGCCAATGCCTCATCCAAGCAGGAGCTCTACACTCTCAGCATAGAACAGGCCCGGAAGGTGGGGTGCAAAGCATGTGTCTGTGTGTAAGAGAGAGTGAAAGAAACGCCTCCTCTAGGAATGCTGCAGTTCCTGACCAGGGAGGATGTTAAATTCCCTGGAGATGGCACTCAGCCAGACCTAGCTTTGGGATAGCAAAGGCTCAGGAGTGGCCTCCTTTGACCTATCAGCAAGTCACTGCTTGGAAAGGAAGAGAGAAAAATATATTTTACATGCAGACTGGGACATCTGGGTTTGGTCTCAGCAACGGGAACTTCATGCAACAGTCCCCCCCCCCCCAAAAAAAAGCCCTGGCAGGAATTGCACAGGAGCTCAAAAATTTCCCTTAAGGAGAGCCTTACTAAGAAGCTACAGTGGACACTCGGGTTGCAAATGTGATCCGTGCAGGATGCACGTTCGCAACCCACAGCATTCACAACCCGCGTCTGCGCACACACGGGTTGCAATTCAGCGCTTCTGTGCATGCGCAACCGCCAAAACCCCGAAGTAACCCGTTCCGGTACTTCCAGGTTTTGGTGGTCCATAACCTGAAAAGAAGCAACCTGAAGCAGACGTAACCCGAAGTATGACTGTATTGTGTTCCTTACCACTAGGAGAACCACTGTCAAAGCAGGCTGCTGGTGAATGCTCTTGAATGCTAGCTGGAGCTCTGCTTCAGGTCACATCGAAAAGTCAGCTGGAAAAGTGTGTGTGTGTGTGTAGATAGATAGATAGATGATAGAAAGATACACTTATTGAAAGCCAAACTGAAGAACACATTATCTGGCTCTCAAACTTGAGATTAGCCTGTATTAAGACTACTCAAAGACCCACTGCTGCCAGGTTTGCATCACTTATTGTGGGCTGAAATCTCATTACTCTCATAGATAAGAAGATCATCTGAACAGAACCCCATTGCTACACACACCCGACATTGAGTTCTACCTTGTGCCACTCCTCACTTATCCACATGTATGAATGGATTTATTGGACACACACAAACAAGCACACTCCCAACTGAAACAAGGAATGCAGTGCTTACTTGTAGCTGTTTGAGCTGCACCCTCCACATCCAAACCAGCCCTGTAATCCTGAGCAGCTCCGTTCCCCACAGCTGTGCTTTCCACGGGGCCCGATGGGCGTTGGGCAGCCTCACTGGCAACTAGTTTCAGAGCAGGTGCCTCTAGAGGAAAAGCAGATGCCTGGAATAAAAGGAGAAGAAAGGACATGAGGGACCCTTCCAGGCAGTACAGAAAATCAGCTCTGAAAACAAGTCCTACCATATACACATGGACTGGTGGGGGTCAGCACACAAGATTTCCAAGACAGAAGGTAAATAAGGGCCCTTCCAGGCATTCTTTCTATGGTGCATTCATGATTTGTGCTCATAATGGTATTGGGGCAGTCACAGGCAATCCCACTTTCAATGCTGTGTAAGTCCTGCAACGTCCTGCTGAAATCCTGTAACTTTTCACAACATACATTTTCTTTATTTATGGAAAGTATTTATATACTGCTGTATATCATTAAAAGAATCTATAATTAAAGCATGTAAAAAAATTAAATCACAGACTATCAAGTATTATGGAAAGAGGAAAACATTTTCAGCAGGCGTTTAAAGGTTGAAACAGAAGGCACCTGCTGAATCTATACTAGCAGATCATTCAACAGGACTAGGCTGATCACACTAAAGGCTCCATTTCATGTTGATGTCAAATGGGCCTCCCCAATTCAGGAGTCAAATGTGTTTCATCCCCCCCCCCTTTTGCTGTGCTATATATAGTCTAACATGCCCCTTCAGATACCAACAATTCAGCAACATTGGGGAAACACTACAGAACAACTTACAAAGTGGAATGATAATGTGGACACGCCTGTATAAATCCACCACACTATTATTGCATAAATGACATATTGCAGAATACACCCACACATAAAAACACCACTCTGGAGGGGCCATTTGTTTTTGCTTGAGCTTGCATGTGCCAGCTGAGAAGGAACAGCACACTGGTTCTGAGCCAGTTCTACCATGAGCAGGAGTTTGCTGTCCACAGGCCTCCAGGTTTTCCTTGTCAGGACCTAGGCCAGTCTTCTTCTGCATGGTGGCCTTGAGAGGTTTTGGACTGCAACTTCCTTCAGTTCTAGTTAGCATTCCCTAATGGATAACAGAATAGAATCATAGAATTGTAGAGTTGGAAGGGACCACAAGGGTCATATAATCCAACCCCCTGCAATGCAGGAATCTTTTACCCAATGTGGGACTTGAACCCACAACCCTGAGATTAAGAGTAGGATAATGAATGGTCTGGTGCCAGTTGGAACTGAAAACATCTGAAGGGCACTAGGTTGGGGAAGACTCAGCTAAATGATGAATGCTTGGGAGGGAATGATCTGAGGAAAAGGGTAGGAACCAAAGCACATATCTTAACCAACAAGCTAAAAATGTGCAAGACATTGCATGTTCTTAGGCAGTATCTGCATCTGCCAAACCCATCAGACTAACTTATGCACAACCAATTGTGAGGTACTGTCTGTAGCACAAAACATTTGCACTGCATCAGCAGCAACCTAAGCACCCCAAAGCAGTAAACAGTGAGACTCTTCCCTGAGCAGCTCATTGCAAAATGAGCTTGCTTCTCTGCTTGCCTATGAACACCTTCTTTACAATAAGGTAGCACAGCTGCATGCAAAATTTACAATCTGTGCTAGTGATGGGATAGTAAAAATGGGCTGCTTGACACAAAAGCAACATTTGAGCTTGGAATGGGAAGAGGCAAAGTCTGAGTGGCCTGAGCAAAAATAATGTGAACTGGTTCTCAGTGTGGAATTCTTCTGTACAGCACTGTTCTTGACTGAATATATTATTATGGTTGGTTTACTAATAAAGCTGGATTAGTGATGTCCAAAGGTGCACAACCTGTCCTGTGACTCTCACTCCACTTTAGACTGTCTGAAGCCAGTTTGGTCTTGGGGCACAGCCAACTTGTCAGCAAAACAACCCAGTCCTGTCCTGTGTGGCTTTGCAGATGGAAGAAAGCAGGTGTTGCAGCCCAGGCTGAAGTGAGAGCAACAAAGAGGTGCAACCTGCTCCAGCCAGTCCTTGTTCCACCTTCCTTCAAAGTCAGCTTGAGTCTAAATAGTGACATCCTTTTACTTCCGCCCCCCCTCACACCCAATAAGATTGGCTCTGTGTGTGCTACAATTCTGCACAAGCATGAATCATGTGGTACAGTAGTACCTCGAGTTACAAACGCTTCAGGTTACAAACTCTGCTAACCCGGAACAGTTACTTTGAGTTGAGAACTTTGCCCCAGGATAAGAACAGAAATTGTGTGCCGGTGGCGCAATGGCAGCAAGAGGCCCCATTAGTGAAAGCACGCCTCTAGTTGAGAACGGTTTCAGGTTAAGAATGGACTTCCGGAACGAATTAAGTTCATAGCTAGAGGTACCACTGTACCATGGTACCTCAGGTTACATACGCTTCAGGTTACATACACTTCAGGCTACAGACTCCGCTAACCCAGAAATAGTGCTTCAGGTTAAGAACTTTGCTTCAGGATACGAACATAAATCGTGCTCCGGCGGCGCAGCGGCAGCGGGAGGCCCCATTAGCTAAAGTGGTATCTCAGGTTAAGAACAGTTTCACGTTAATAACAGACCTCCAGAACGAATTAAGTACTTATCCCAAGGTACCACTGTTCTGGGCAAAGAAATCAACTGTGTAACATTTTCAGCTTTCTAGCCTTTATGTTTGCAAAGAAAGGCTTCGAAGTTTGCTCTTACCATTGCCTCATATCTGTCTGAAGCACATTAAATTATACAGATTAATTTACTACATATAGTATTAAGAAATTCTTAATAAACACTGCAGAAAATAAATAACACAAAACAGATACAGTACATTGTGCACATGTACTTAATTAGCACAACTTGCGCCCAGTGTACATTTGTTTCTTTCATGTTTCTCATGCTTTTTTGTAGGTGCATAATCTAGATATTACTAATTTTAAAAAGGATGTGTACTGCTGTGCGAAAGTCCTGATTTCAGGCTTTCCACAAGTTAGCCACTTTGAGAAAAAGAATACTAGACTACATGGGCCTCTAGCTTTATCCAACAGAGTTCTTCTGTAAATTTTTATTTTTAGTATCATCATCATTATTGTCATTATGAGTACATAGTGCTCTGATTTCCAGCAGAGGGTGTACCCCCCCCAAAAAAACCCTCTTAAGTTCCAACACCTCACATTCTAAAATTAACTGCTCCAACCACAACAGCATAGTAGATAGAACACCCCCACAAATGTACAAATGAGCCTTTCATGTAGAGGACAGAGGATCTGAAACCCAAGACGGGTGGACAGGGGATACGCCCCTGAAATGTGAGCCACACAAATAAAGGGCACCTCCAGATGACCTGTTTATGTAGAATTCATTCTTATTTGCTTGCACAAAGCTTATGTGGTGGTTAGACTGTGTCTGGTTTTTAATGAGCATTTGTTCTGATTTGTTTACAGGGTGGTTATATGACAATCAGCATTCTTCCAAAGTTGCTTGCATGGTACTAATTCATCTTCATCTTAATCATTCATTCATCCCACACCTTTCAAAGCATTTCCCTGTCAATTGACTAACTGCAAAAAGGCTGTGTGTATGTGTGATACACAGTGAATGCTCGAGTTGCGAACATGATCTCTACCCGGAAGTTACCCGTTCCGGTACTTCCAGGTTTCAGTGCGTCCTTAACCCGAAAACGCGCAACCTGAAGCGTCTGTAACCCAAGGTAT